TCACACGCATCTATAGTCCCAGCTACTTGGGAGGCTGAGTCAGGAGAATGGATTGAGCCCAAGAGTTTGAGGTTGCAGTGAGCTATGATGATGCCACTGCACTCTAACCTGGGCAATAAAGCAAGACCCAGTCTCAAAAAAAAAACGGTATCAACAGAGTAAAAAGGCAGCCTACAGAATGAGAAAAAAAAAATTGCACATCATATAGCTGAGAAAGGATTAATATGCAGAATATATAGAGAACTCCTAAAACCCAAGGAAAAAAAATCCAATTAAAAAATGCGCAAGTCTACAAATCCTTGCACTGCCACTGAGGAGGAGATCAGAGAATGACAATAATGAGATCATAAGTAACTTTAAGGGTTAGGGACAGAGAAGGATGATAAGGTGAGAGAAAAGCCAAGCAGCAAGCACAAATCCAACTTTAGGGAAATGTGTTAGGGGAAACATAGGATGGTTTTCAGAGCAAGTAGCAGTCCTGAGGGTAGAACATTGACGGGGCAATTTTCTGATCCTTGATAGGGAGTCAGAAGTTCTTTCTCATGGCCTCACACCAAGTCTAACTCTCTAAAAAGTCCCATTCATGGTGCTAATGGTTGCTTCAATAACTTCATAAATGGGTGGTAGTGACTCTGCTTTCTATTACATGTTGGAGAAAGTTTTGGGTTCTAAGGTTCATAATCTTCCCCTATGGAATAAATATATTTAAAAATCTTTTTAAGTGCCCCTTTCTATCTTCAATTTCTCTCCTTAGAGGAAAATGTGCCATATTTATAATTGGACATCAGGAAGGAAAATGCCATACATTAATTTTACTCTGAGGGATTGCTGGAGGCTTTTGTGAAGTCACATTCAAATGTGCATTGTCACCCAGGAGAATATTAAGCCTAACAGGGGGACTCTTGGCTGTTTGCGCAATCTGGATAGATACCCTATCCTGTGCTTTTTTTTCTCCAGATACTATGTTTGGAGTGATGATAAGCTAAGAGGGATAAACAAGAGAAGAAAATGGCAATGCATAGAAAGTCAACAATGAGATCATTGACCCTTGAAGCTCTGATCTTCCTTTGGGATAATATGCTGCTCAAGGTCACAGAGCTGTTTAGTGGCAGGGCTAAGAACCCAGGTGGTGCCTTTTTGCCCTAAACTGCTGCTCTAGGGCAGTGGTTTTCTTAAGTATGATTCTAGGATCAGCAGCATCAGCATCATTTGAACATTAGAAATGCAGATTCTAGGCCTGGCGTGGTGGCTCACGCCTGTAATTCTAGCACTCTGAGAGGCCAAGGCAGGAGGATTGTTTGAGCTCAGGAGTTCGAGACCAGCCTGAGCAAGAGCGAGACCCGATCTCTACTAAAAATATAAAGAAATTAGCTGGACAACTAAAAATATATAGAAAAAAAAAATTAGCTGGGCATG